TAACTCGATATTAATAAGTATAACTCGATATGAGTTGTCCCCCTTTCATTAATGCCTCTTAATCGTGTTTTCAAATTGATTTTGTGCAAAGACAATTGTGTTTTTCCAATTTTTGGCACTGTCAGAACCACCGCATGGTAATTTTACGTAGTCCTGTGAAGTTTTGTTGAAATCTGTTGAAAAATGTAGGAAATCCAATATATAAACACACGCACACACACACAATCTGAGTTTTATAATAAGTAAGATTTCCTTTTTAGTTCTACGCCGTGATCTAATGCTTATAGCTACGTTAAAACACTGGTTCCCGTATGATCACCGAAGTTAAGCAACATCGATTCTGGTCAAAACCTAGACTGGTAACCGCTTGAGAATACCAGGTGCTGTAAGCTTGGATATGCGGGTGATATAATGGATAATCTTTAGGAATTGTTAATCGGAGAACAGTTCCAATTCCGGTTGGGTTCGTTATTATATTCGCTTCCTCGCAAATTCCCTTGTGAAGGTATGAATCCACTACCTTTCCCCCAGCTATAGGTTAATTAGCAAAACTTGTATCGCTAAAACAATTATTTTTATTTTGTTTTTAAACTCTATCTGGCTGTAAATATAAGTTTCCTTGTAGCTTTTATTTTTCTTAAGTCTGTTCTTTCCAAAGTATTCACAACCTTCGCCGGCGGAACCACATTACTACCGTTCCAAGTCTCTTCATTTGTGAGATTTTTCAGCATTCATTGTCATATAGACTAAATATTACACAGTAGTATATTGAGGTATTCTTTTTTCTTTCTTTTTTTTTAATTCGTCTTTGTGTCTGACTGGATTGGAGCATCTTATATACTGTAGGGAAATAAATAAATTTAATTTTAACTCAAATATATTTGAAACCTGATTAAACTTTGTAGTTTTTCACGATGTGAAACATCGTTTATTGGACAATTACTCCTCACTTAATGACTTAGTAGTTGACTTACGACCAACTATGGAGTACCTTTATATATATATATATATATATATATATATATAAAATGTACACTACAAGCCGATACCAGAAACAGTTTGAAAAATCCTGCGAATTTTAATTAAATTAAAATTCGTAGGTGAAAATGGTCATTTACTAAAGGTATCGTAATTCCAATTGTAAAGAAAATTTACTGTTTATTGTGAATAAACATAGCTCTCTTTTGTGAGTCAGTTTTAACATATTTCAAATTCTATGTTGTGGTAATAGGACTCGCCTGTATTATACCAACGGAGATATATATATATATATATATATATATATATATATATATATATATATCTCAAACACTTAAAATTCCATAAGTAATAATTTGTTTCATGAAGCTACAATAGTTACTCGTTCATAGGATCTCCAGACCAAAAAAAAATGGTCGCGAGGTCCCATAAATGTCGCTAACGATTATAGCCTCATGAAATAAAATTTATTATCTATTAAATTTAAGTGTTTGATATTAATTAATTAATAATAATTTTGCTCTGTCTCCAACATAGAGCTCTCCTTTGATCTATATCCTATCGGAAATTCCATTACGGATTACTAGTTTATATATATATATATATATATATATATATATATATATATATATATATATATATATATATATTTATTTTGTGTGTCTTAACACAATTTTAAATCGAACCTTATAACGGTCAGCATCAGAAGATTGCAAAGCTGCATTAAACTCCGGGTCATGCTGTCAACGTTGGATATTATTTATATTCACTTATATATATATATATATGCACAAATTTTGTTCGATGTAATCCTGAAGCACGAAACTCGTTATAAGTAAACTCTTTTCACTTTGTCATACTATTTTCTCGTTATATAAACACACACCGACACGAGCAGTCAGTATTCAAAGTTTTACGAAAGCCTTAAGATTTTCCTTTTTTAAAATAATGAAAAATAGTTTTTAAAAAAATCACGTTTAGGGGTAATTTCACCCAACACCATAACAAATCCAAACTATTAACCTGAAAATTCGAGTCATGTTCTTAAATAGCCTCATCAAATCAAGATGCCAAACCCGTTTAGAAATATCTAAACATATATTAGTTGTTTACAGCCGCTTTCTTAGATCAGTGGTTAAGAATGGCTTTCGAAACTTAAGGACTGGCGCTATCTGTACCAGATAAATTTACATCGCATGGGGACTTTTAAACAGCAGCAACAAATATGGATATTGCGAAGATAAAATAAGGGCATAATCAAGATTCCACATTACTTCAAATAAAAGGTTAGGAAGAATACTATTCTCGATACTGTAAAAAAGCGATAACAGCTAATGGACTTGAAAAACCTATTTTCCTGAACAATTGTTTTAATAGAAAGATTTTATAAATCCCAACCGATATTAGAACTGTCTAGTACAATGAACACTAATTGTCTCCTTATAAAGAAACTAATATTACTCTTACCCTATTTACAGCAGTGTACAGAATACAGAGCCGATTTTTTTTTCTAATTTTTTTTTTTACATTACTGTTTAGTACATTGCTGTCTAAATGTTTAGAAATGTTACAAATGGTGCAAAAGTAATATTAAAGTTATCTGAAGCTGGTTGGAACGGGTCCATCACACGCACGCCTGGAATGGCGGTCAGTTACATCTCACTTAGCGATCATGTCGTTGGAACAGAAAACCCGGTCGTTAAGTGAAGAGTGGCTGTATTTTGCGACGAAACAATTTATTTCTTTAGCGGTCTCACCGTAAAGGTGAATTTTTTAAGCTGTATCAAACATAACCTCTAATTTTAGATAACCCTGCACCAGTTACACGTCAATTAGATTGTCATCTTTTCACGAGATCACCCACCACCACTTTGTTTATTTGCCGCCAGTTTCAAACGTACCTGCCGTTTTGCATGGTAACAATCTACCCAGTAACACTTCTCTTCAACACCACCTACCAGCTGTAATTCATCCTTTTTTTTTTTTTTTTTTTTTTACTCTACTCAATCTTCATACTAAGCAGCAAGTATTGTTACGGTCTGTTTTCTTTATTTATTTCTGTCTGTATAGGCCCACCTTGTGTTAGTGATGTTCTTGATCAGCTATGGTTGTTTCGGCTTCGCTTGGTCTACATGTTAGCGACGGGTTGTGTAATATATGGGGGGTTCTGAAGAGATCTCGCGGTAAGAGAACTATCGTTTTCCAGAAAGATCTTGCGGTGACTGGATAATTAAAGAGTAAATGGCTGCAGTTCTCTACATCGAGCGAACGGTGCTTCGCGTTGATTGCAGCCGAGAAGTGTAAGCCGCCTTTGTGTCGCTTAACACTAGGATGACCAGCTCCTTTGACATCTTTATTTACATTACGCCGTGAAGCAGCCATCTCTAATATATACAATATTCAAGTCACCAATAACAAGTCTGAAAAGAAATTCACAAATATTAGTATACCTCATACTGAAAGAAAGTGATTATATATATATATATATATATATATATATATATATATATATATATATATATAAAATTATGTGTGTATGTATAGATAAATAGATAGGGGACATAAACACAAGTATTATTGCTTGTGAGAAACTTTTCAATGCATTTACCCTATAAATAGCCTAGGTGTCAAAAACGACACCTCAGCCATTGAAGGTAAAACCTCAAATATCAGCTATTCCACTGAATATTTTTTAAAGAATTAAGTCTGTTAAGCTTCTTTGCTAAAATTCAATAATTGTCCATAAGCCTCAGCATCGAACCAAAACTAGTTATTCCATAGGAATTTGTTGAAAATTTGAAGGTGTCGAAAACGACACCTCGGCCATCCTAGTGTTAAAGCAGTTTGAGCATGCGGGTCGTCCATCATGTTTGAAAGGAATCCCTTGACCAAACTGCAATAAGGTACCGTCTTTAAAACTATATCTTGGGTGCTCAAGATTTAACTCTAACACTGGGGCTGCAAATCACTTGACTAATTGCTAGGCTCGGGACAGGTAGAGTTTAAAGGAAATTAAAATCTGCATGTCATGCTTATTTTCAGTTTCCCCAAATAGACATTACGTAGGACCCCGCAGAGCCATCCAGAATAACTCGCGGGAGCGCATAAAAGAGATCCGCATCCCTCCATTTTTTTCCTTCGTTTCGTCAGCGTAAGACGTTCTCTCAAAATGCAGCCTTCAAACCCAGGACACATTTCATCGTCCTAAAAAAAAAAAAAAGACTCTTACATTTGTACATTTCGGGTACGGACATTTGATATGCCAACCACACTTGCACCTTTCATTATTTGTTTGAAGTTGTCTTCTATGTATGTCACACTAAACGGTTCAGTCTGATTCCCTAGTTGTATCCAGTTTCGCATGCACACACACACACACACACACACACACACACACACACACACACACACACACAACTACTGGGATTAATTGGAACAGCTTACAATAACGTCATTTCCATGCCGCTTGAACATGTCTTTGTTTGAATGTATTCCTGTTCAGCTCAGAAACAGGATAATATCCGCAACAGATCGATATAATATATTTCAGTTTGCCAGTTATAAATTATAGGTGAGATATATAAAAAAAATTTAGGTGTAACTGGCAAAATTTTTTTATCGTCTTTCCCCCCCCTTTTTCTTTTCGGAATGATTGAGATATATATTGTTTTGGCTTCATCAGATATTACAGACTAGGGCTACACAGTCGCAAACAATGAAGTTGACCAAATAACAAAATAATAAATAATACAATCAAAGGGCGGAACTGACAAAATTCTCAATAAAAGGAAAAAGGACAGAGCAAAATAGCGAGACGGCAATGTAATGCAAAGCAATTGTAAAACAGTAACAAAGTAAAAAGTTTACAAAATCGTATTCAAACGTAAAAGGGATACAGTCAAGTGGTTATAGCCTTTTTGACTTCAAGACAAGATTAGAAAAAATGTCTACGTTAATGATGTAATGGAATAACCTGTTAACCCCCATGATTGACTACACTATAGGTATCTGTAAGTCAATAAGACTATAGAGTCTAGCCGAAATCTTTTCGGCTGGCAGGTCGAACTCTCTACCTCTGAGCAGAGGAACCCGGACGAGGCTCCGCCGAAGGGAAGTCTCGTTCGGGGAGGTTGACCAACCCGATCCCGTTTATACGGGTTCTACAGGCATTTTTTGGCCGAGGCTACGGGCTCGGGAAATCCACGTTAAACCCGGCCTTGTGCCATATGCAACCCGCGTGGGGGTGGCTAAATATCGTCTAGCCGAAATCTTTTTTCGGCTATACAGTCGAACTCTCTGCCTTCGGACAGAGGCTATGCGGAAGGGCAGTGTCTCGTTCGAGGAGGTAGACTGACCCTGAACCCGTTTATACGGGCTCTGAAGACCCACGTAAAACTCGGTCTTGTGCCACATCTACCCTTGGGTGGGGGTGGCTAGTAGATATTGTCTAGCCGAAATCTTTTTCGGCTTGCAGGTCGAACTCTCTGCCTCTGAGCAGAGGAACCCGGACTAGGCTATGCCGAAGGGCAGTCTCGTTCGGGGAGGTAGACCGACCCGATCCAGTTTATGCGGTGTCTACGGGGATTTTTTTGGCCGAGCCTATGGCCTCGGGAACCCCACATTAAATTCGGCCTTGTGCTACTGCGTGGGGCAGTTGCTAGATATTCTAGCTGGGATCTTTTCCAGCTGTGCGGGTCGAATTCTCTGTCGGCTATGCCGAAGGACATTCTCGTCCGGGGAGGTAGACAGACCTGATCCTGTTTATGCGAGGTCTACGGAGATTTTTTCTGATGAGTACGACTCGGACTTACGCGAGTACTACCAACCTTCCAATAGCAGCACTCACTACTGGATTGACTTGCGATGACCTTGTGCATAACTGTTACCTTTATTCTTATTGTACTGATTTTTGCAATAAACCATTACATATTTTATCCACCGTGTTTTTTTTTTTTTTTTGTTTTTTTTTTTTAGTATATATTCCTTTTAGCACGGAATATAAACGTTAAACTGAGAATTGGCCATTTTTATTGACTAGGAAGAAAATTTATTAATTTCATAAATTTAAACCGACAGTGATGCTAACTGTTCGGTCAATGGATGCCGAATGTTTCCTGTATGGAAACTGCTAATCTCATCATCACCAGATCTTGGCTGTCGCTTCGCGATCTAACTGGCGACACACTGCGTGCGAAGGTTTTCTTGTTCCAATTTATAAGATAACAGATTCAGAAGTTCATATTCAGATCCGTTCCAAAACTAATTTTGGCTCACCAACTTTGAACTTTGCATTTGTTGCAACTCTTTTACACCTCACTCTTCCACGCACTGCTTTTCCTGTATTTTTTTAAATCCCTCCCTACCGCCGACCGATCCTTCGTACTGTTGAAAAGAGGACACAAAAAAAACCGCATGTCAACTTCCGCTATGGCAATCACGAAACAGACAATACCTTCATTTTTTTTTTTCTTTCCTTTTCTTTTTCTCCTTTCCTTACTTTCACCCACCGTCCTCCCCTGGAAAAAATATTTGCGGTGCTGTGTGTCTTTTAAAATTGTTTAATGCGTTTACACATTAAAATGTATGAAGTAACGGTAATCAGCGTGCCGAGTTCAAATTCTGGTCGATTTTTTTTATGATCCCTTTGCAGAAAAACTCTTGAAGACGGTATCAATCCATTTTCCACTTGTGATTGAATAGCAGGACAGATTGGAATCTCTTCTCTGATGGTCACGTCATTGTATGTGGCTCGGAAGGGTGATCAGCGACACTACGGTTTTTCTGTAGTGGGCAGAGTCGGTTGCGTTGTTACGTTAGTTTTTACATCTTCCGTGAAACCAATGTCTTTTTTTCCTCTCTGAGTCGTTAACAGCACAACGCATATGATCTGTATTGGCTGCTTTTATTGCCTTTAGTAGGGAAATTATACCGACTACTTGTCAGTAAATAGTGACTTACAAATCCGAACAGTTTCAGACCTGTGTTCGCTACGAGGTCAAAATTCTAATTGAAGGATTTTAGAGCGAGAAATTCCCTTTTCATTCAGTGAATTAACGAAAGTGTGACAAATTACTTGAAAAAATGATTTGTTCAGTAGCAGAAGGAAAACTCAAATTTGAGGAAGGCAGTTTGGAGAATTCGTGACGCACAAATGCACCAGTTCTCTAGCAGTTCTTTCGATAAGAACACATCGAAATCGACTGTGTAAATCGGTGTGTGTAACAAGAATTTCTTTATATTTCCTTAACTGGATGAAGGATATGGCCAAATGGGGTGGAAAAGGAAATGGACTAAAGGTTTGCGTCAGTATCCCAACGGTAGACTTTTTAAAACCTGGGTTCGTACATCAACTTCTGATGCACCAGACTGAATATCCGTCACGAAATCTCCCAACAAAGAGGAACAGTTTGGGAGATTCCGTGTATCTGAATTGATGTACGAACCTACATTTTAAAAATGTCTACACTTTTTAGGCAATTTGATGGACAAGTAAAGATTCCTATCGAATTTAAACATGAAAATAGTGGCCCAAATGGGCGTAACAGGCTCTATTCGAAATTTATAACGCTTGAATATAGCAGATAGGTTCGCCTATCGTCCGGTTCACACTCATCCTCGTTCTTTTCAACGTTCAGCCCTTGCTTCTTTTTAAAATCTTCATTTTTTTTTTTTTTTTTTTTTTTTCTTTTTTCACTCCCAGTAGTCTTCTTGCGTCATAGTGGCATTGTCACCTTTCTTGGGGTGAATTGATTTTTAAATTTAAAAAAAAAGCTGCTATGTAATATTTCCGAAATATGTAGTAAAAATAAAATTTTTTTTAAAGTTTCTTAATAATTCTCAGGTCAGTGTCAGCCTTATGCTGATTGGGCCAACTGCTTCCCACGCCATAATATTTCTATGGAACCGGGTTCCGTTCCAACGACATGAACGCTAAATGAGGGGTCACTGTCCGCTATTACAGGTTTACTACGCGTGTAATGGATTTGTGTCAACCAGCTTCAGATAGTTTTAATGTTACTTTTGCACCAGTCGTAACATTTCAAATTTATTTCTAAATATTTAGACAGTAATGCCAGTCAGTTATGTGCCATGCGTGATACACGTCTAGGCGATCACGTATCTTTCGATACATGACTGACGAGGCAGATTTTTTTTTTCTCAGTAGGTTGCCATTTCTTTCTGCGGTAGACCAGTTACCATCCAAGGCTATAGAACTCGGTCTGTCTTGCTATTTACACATAGCTGGAGGGAGAAGAGGATTCACACCTTTCCCAAGGGTATTAGCACGTAAGTGAATGTAATGGAATTCGAACTCGACTCTCCGATTCCTCAACTCGAGCTGCTATCCATCAGTAAACGTAATAAACAAATTTAAAAATCAGCTCTGTATTCTGTACATTGCTTTGGTTTGAATGCTGTAAATATGGTAATCGCAATATTAGCTGTTTCCTTATAAGGAAACAGTTGTAATTCATTGACAGGGCAGCTGGCACGAGTGTCAGTTGAAATTAACTGGAACCCGCCCATAGCCCCCAAACTGGTTCTGCACCTACTAAACTTCGGCTCTCAAAGGTTTACCGTAAATTTGACTTTCATGAAGGACGCGAAGTGATTTTTTTTTTTTTTTTTTTTTTTTTTTTATTCTAGGATCATATTCTCGAAGGAAAAATACTGCGGTTTAACATTATGCAAAATTTCGTAATTTAGGTCTAAGGCGGCGTCTAGGTTCTGTTAACAGCTCAAAATCTTGTGACCTTTTAAGTATTAATCTATTTAATCGTCTCGAATCATTTTGGGGGAATTTCCACCTCCAATGTTATGACCTTAAAATACACAAATGATACAATTGCCGTCAATTTCAAAATTATCTGAATCTACATCTCCAATTTTTTAGAAAAGAAAACTAGAATAATCATTTTATTTGTTGTTGTTATTATTACAATTATAATAGGATGATAGTTCGCACGACCATTACGTCATGATATCAATACCTCACTATTGAGAGATTAGATTAAACTTATAAGAACAGATACTACACTTTGATCTCAGCCAACGGGCCGAGAAGACATTTTATTTATCTGACCTCCCCACTAAGACAGGCCGTGACACAAGGTCTTTTTTTTTTCTTTTACCTGGGGTGTCCATGCGCGTGCCTATCGATCAATGACGAAAATTGTCCAATCCCCGCAACCACTGTCACGCTGGCGGCGATATTACATCGAACCCACCTCTTTTAGTGCAATGAGGAAGGTGCTTCCGCGGGGTTAGAATCCCCCTGGTCAGAAGTCTTTTCCCATCTAAAATGAGAAGAAAACAGATACTACGCATTGATCCCGGCCATAACTCCGAGATTGTGTGGTGACCGCGACAAAAGCGCTATTCTTCAGATGCACAGTATCGAACGACGAAAACAGGAATGGAATCGTCAAAAATCCTGTTACCATAAATAAGATAACATCGTCTGCTGAATTATTTTTAAATTAAGAGAAATGCTCGTAAGACGGGGAAAAATTTAATTCAACAGAAAATTCAAATAAGAAAGCCGTGAAATTTTCATGGCTCTTTCTATTTGTCATTATTACTACTTCTACTACTTGTCTCCTTGCTTAGCAGTTTAGTTTTCAAAGCAAACGTATCTGGTTGAGGTGATCTTTGGTAAAAATCGAATGACAGCAATTCTCTGTCTTACTCCAGCACTGTCTTCAATATTCTGATTTAATGATTCTGTTGTAGTGTTCGATTCCTTCCACTTCACCCTCACGGCTTTTAATTAAAACGATTCAAACCGTTTGCGTGAGAGAAAAATATCTCAAGACTCTTCTGACTCGTTACAAACGTTCCATCAATTTAACTATCCTTTTTCCTATTTCACCTTCCCAACAAGGTGTGAATAGTTCCACCAAACGGCACATGTCTCCAGTTTTATACTACATTGGAACTTGCAATATCTGACACATCTTTGTTTACAATCTGGGGTGTTGGCCAAATTTGGTAGTTTGTCTTAAGGTTCAGTGTATCAGAGAAGTTTATTTTTCTCGGTATTTTTCTAGCATGCGTCTAAGCTATTGAACTGTATAGTTAACCTTCTATAATGCATAATTTCCATGAGATCACCGTTCCTACCTATCCGTGCCTATTTTGTACTCTGGTGTTGATGTGTTTCCGAAAGAAGTTATTAAATAATACAAAAATGAAAATCTCTCACTCTCTCTCACTCACACACATTTTTGGAAGTGCTATCTGATGATCCGGCGTCCTTTAAAAGGACTCTGGTGAAATAAATTTACTAATTTAAAAATATCGTTCCATCGCTACGCAAGAATTACCATGGTTCAGAAACTAAAAACATCAATTTTAATTATAGAATTAAAGTCCCTAGTCTTGTTTCATTTTCAAGTGAATTTTGGAATAACTTATTTTGAAATTTACTGAGTTTATAAGTACATATATTCATAATATTACTTTATAAAGATACGGGGAAATCCAATCATTTTAACAAGTGGCGGTTACCTCTTTTCGAAAGTAACTCCTATTTTGATACAATAGCTGTCAGTAAAATGAATACCTTACCGACCCTTGAAAAAAAAAAACTATCACAATAAAAGGGTCTTGAAATCAAAATCTCAAAAATGTGACGCATGAGGACATTAACAATCCCAGTTGTAGTTGGAGCCTTCGGATTGATTGAAAAAGATTCAAATACTCATTGAAGGAATTCCTGGTAGCCCATGCCTTAAAGAAATACAAAAAATGTACTCAGAAGCACAGCCCACAGCTTACGAAGGGCTTCATCTATGTAAAATATGTGCGTTTTTTTTTTGTTTTTTTTTCCAAAACTGGTCAGTGAAAAATGTCATGATACCATTTCTGACCTTACGTCTCTGTTCGGGACCCGGAAAGAAATGGCTATATACCAGAAATCAAAGGAAATAAAACAATAACTACTACTACTACTACTATTGTACTTTCAATTACAGGGTTGCCAGAGTGGATTACATTTGAAAGCCTAGCACTGGTAAATTTTGAATCCGCTTTATTCTCACTAGTAATTCAAGAAGACAGAATGCATGGTTGTCAGGCACCGGAACAGCCTAATAGGCGAACTACGAATTGGAAGCACCAAAATCAACAACAAAAATATAAATGTCTACGAAGTCTTTAAACAGAGAACGGAGAATGTAATAGTGAATGCTTGGACAGTGTCTTCACAGATATAGAAATATGGTTCTACAGAAGGATCCTGAGAATACCATGGATTTGAACGTATGGTTAACAACGAAGTAAGGAAAATGGGAACAAAAAGCAAGATTATAGCTAAAATCAGAAAAGCAATTGAAATTTCTCGGGCGCATAGTGAGAAAAGTAGGCTTGAAAAAATTTGACGATTCTATGTAAATGGTTGGCAACAAAGGGAGCAGGAGAGATTGTAAAAGGGTCGATCACGCCCTGAAGAGACACGGAATACGGAATCCTATCTTTAAAAGCAGACCCCAGAAACTCATGTTAAACAAAAAAACAAAAAAAAAAATTTAGAATCCGGCTTTCAAAGGTCGTCTATTATGGCACCCAGCATGCAGATTTTTCTCGAATACAAAAATCTATTGAATCTTCTAATGCAAAAAGATACCAGATATCAATGACTTGGTAGTAAACAAAAATGACACCCCTCTTAATGACCACATTGTTTCTTAATCAGATATTGATGATCTGCATTTTCTGAATTCTTAATCCGATAATATTTCTTTTTACTCTAAACGTTAGTGAATGCACGTGTTTGAGTAGACGCCCTGTAGACACGTGAATAACGCTTTTAAAAACGGGTGATCTGCATTTAAGACCTGTTACTCAACTTTAAATAGCAGATGCCTGTTCTCGTCATTGTTAGTACCTGTCGCTTCGCCGACGTCAAGATGATCACATTTCGAATCTAAATTGTTTGTCCATTTTAAAATACTACAGTTATTAAAAAATATATTAGCTTTAAACACGGAAGCCATAAAGATGACTTAAAAGAGCCTCAACATCTTCACTTATACTCCTTTCCTGCTAATCAGGGTTTGCCACCAAGCAGAATGGAAAATTAACTGTCGCAACGGTTTTTTTTCCTATGTCATTCAAATTGTATGCGCATGCGTACGCTTGCATATTTTAATTCAATAACATACCTAAAAGTATTTCTTCAAAAATTTTAAAATTTTCAAATATAATTCTATTCCTCATCGAATAATTTCGATAAAAATATCATTTAAAATCTCATAACTATCTGTTTTTATTTTTTTTCACCAAATTTGTGATATTTATTGCTCAGCTCAGGTTCGGGGTTGTCCGTCCAGAATGAATGGGAAGGAAAACTTATTCCAAAGTCTTATTTTTTCAACCTCCAAATTGTATTCATATATGATTGTGCATTTAAACGTCACACATATATGTAAGTTATTCACCTACAAGACACGCATGCATATATTGCATACGCACATGAAGTGACTGACGGAGAGAATATAAAGGTCTTTTATAATATAAATTGTATTTTTTACCATTAAGTAAAGAGCAGTCAACAAAAAGGTAGATAAATAATGAATAGTCGAAGAAAATGCATATTTAAAGAATCTAATCCATTAACCTTGACACATGTTGGTCTGGTCTCTGTCTGGAAGACGGGAGAGGGGATGCAAAAAGTGGGTGATTGGAGGCTCTTGCTTTGATATATTAAATATGGATACGTATTAAGCTTGCATGAATTGTTAGCTTTCATACAAGAGAAGATAATGACTGATCAATGTCAGGGAGACTCCGCCTTTCTCTTTCTCTTGGTCGCCTTTCTTTCTCTTCCTCGCCTTCTTTCCCGCCTCCAGTCGCCTGTTTATAACTTGTGGAATGGTTCTTTTAGACTTAGCTGGAAGAATTTCGAATGTAAGTGCCAAGATGTCCTGGTACTGTTCCAAAATCCATAATTCAAATATTGAACAAAGCTCTCTGAAAAACACAAGACAAAATATTAAATCGAATAGATTAACCACTCGCTTTGTCGATTCTGCTAGATTCCTTTTGCTCCACGGCAGTGAACGCCATTTGTTCCGTTCAATTAGGTGTTTGAACAGCGGTTAATATGGAAATTTATCCCTTGAATCTCCGAGTGATACGTGGCGTGGGCGGAGGTGGGGTCGGCTTTCGAATAAATATAACATCGATGTAAAATGTTCTTAATGGTCTTGTTATCATGCTAGGGAAATCTGAGATGTGTCTTCCAAATTGTCAGCTGTTTGTACAGTTGGTTAAATGTAAAACCTTTTTTCATTTTTGTTCAAGAGTTTATATAAATTTCGTAATGTTTTAAGCATGGGGCTCCTAAGACGGTCGTTATCGACCATTTGATGTCGATGGGACTATCCAGGGGAGTCGATAAATGTTTGGCAGGTCAATAAATAAATCTTGGTGATTTATGGCTACAGCTCACTAATTTCCAACCAAAAGATCAATGTCCCATTGCTGTTGCTCATCAAACACAGTTTTACGATGAATGATATCAGCCAATAGAAAGCGATATTAACTTATTGCTAATGTGTTTATTTTAGCCTATTTTATTTACGAAGATTTTTTTTAATTATTATTCGAACACACTTTGTATAGGAAGAAAACTTGAAAATAGAATAACAAAACGTAAAACGAATCTTATCGATACAATAGTGAAGGAAAAAGGCAAAGGGGTTTCTACTCTTTAATAAAATAAAAATGGATGTTTTTTTCCATACCAGGGGGTCGATTGGGAAAGGATGCCGTGATTGATGGTCTAAAAAGTTTGAGGACTCTCGCTTTAAAAAAAAAGAAAAAAAAAAGTGCTTTTCTCTTTTTGTTATACTCGAAAAACAAACTTGATTTGATAAGATACACGATTTTTTTTTCTTTTCCTAGTAAACTCTTTTATAACCAACTGTACATAAATTTGGCTAAATCTTCAAGTCCACTACTGACATGAATTGCTGCTATTGTGGTTTAAGATAAAAGTGAACAAAATCCCAGTCTCTTATGTAAAAAGAAACAAATTTAACATTGAAAATTCAAAGAACTTTTAATTCAAATTTTAATGTCAAATTGAAACAACGATAATAATGATACTACTACTATCCAATAATGTTTAATATTCTATATATACACTGCAATGTCAAATTGAGACAAACACAATATCTAACATATATATAAGCGCTCAATATCAGAGATAGAGCTAACATATTTGGTTGAATTGATGTGAGTTTGTGACTCTGGGTTTCACGATATATATACACATACACACACTCCTTTCATGATCTTTTTTTTTTTTTTTTTTTTTTTTTTGACCACTCTTCTTGCCCTCCCTTGATGATTTCCACAGTTGAGTGATAAGCAATACTGACAATATATGTATGTTATTTTAATATGACATGCAGATGACGTTTACACATAATCTTATTAATCCTATGAAACTGGGATTTTGTTCATTTTTGGGGGTAGGAGGCTGGGTTTTTGTCATGGTTTAAGCAACCCAAGAAAACGAAAAGTAAAACGTAAAATTATACTAAAGGAGTTTGTAAATACTTTAAACTACGCTCAAGAATTCTACCAATCCTACTAATGTAGTTACATTAACACACGTTTCTTTTCTATTTATTAGTGCAAAGTATTTTTAAAAAAAAGACAATTTAAGCAACTTGAGTATTAATTATTGTACAAAAATTAAACTCGTGCACTGGTCAAAATCCTAAGTTGTTTATAAGAAAAAAAAATTGTCACTGGCGATGACAAACCTAAATTTATCTAGAACAATCTTCATCATTCCAAGCTAGCGTTATTTGGATTGTAGTCGTCTGGCTGAAAACTCAATGACTTGTCTGGTTGAAACCGTTAAAAATTGGCAACTTCTTATTTAAAACTTTATAAATGGCTCCAATTGCGTATAAAGATTTTATCATCGGGTTAGGAATTGTGAAGAAAAAAAGAAACGCTGGAATTATGGACTCAGGACGCTGACAGCTATAGCAATGATTTATGTTTGTCCAAGTAACCAAAATCAAAGAGGAACTCTATATTAAAATCGGAGTTTGACAGTTAATAAAGTTTTGGAAACAAATAGAAAACTTTTTTGTAGAGTAGTACTCAACGTACTTCCTGCTCTTCCCTACTAACGTGACAATGGACTGCTCCTACTTATAAATATAGCAAGTAGCCACTTTAGAATAGCATTTGAACTGTGACACATTTCAGCTGCCTATGGCTAACATAACACCAGACAAAGTGGTATCGGCACCACGGGTAGGGAAAAGAAAATTTACCTGCTGGCTGGAGATGAATGCAAATATAAATAAAAAATAAAAAAAAGATAGATATTCAGTAATATGAAGTAAATATGTAGAACTCAACGTACTTCCTGTTTTTCCCTACTATGACAATAGACTGCCCCTCCTTATAAATAACCACATTGGAGTCGAGGCAGTCAATTGTCACAGTAGTAGGGAAGAACATGATGTATACGGAGTCCTACTCTACAATAAAAATAGTATGGAAATGGTTTTGTCACTAATACTAAATGGAAGTGTAATATCCACAGACATTGGACGACGACATTAAAAGAACTATCAATAAAATTCCATCCTTCCACGTAAAATCTTCGAAGAGCTTGGAAGACCTGCAGCACTTTTGGGAATTAATAAAGGACAAGCAGTTTTGGAGATTTACAAAGTTGCTGAAGATGAGACATCTCATTGATTTGCAGTCAGTTTTCAAGTTGAAACGATTCTGATGGAAGTTGTTTGACGAAATTTATTCTGAATTATAACAAATGGAACAAATTATTAGTCAATACAATGAGTAACTAGCCAGATTTAATAATGGCTGTTGTAAAGTGTGTGTGAATCAAGGTCTTCTACTTGAATGCCCTCTACAGTGAAAAAAGTCGATATCCTCATGCAAATGAAGCATTTGTGTTCTTTCAGGGCGTTGACAATCATGACTCTTCACTATTTCCTATCCTTTGTAGCTCTTAGTAAATTTTCTTTTTGCCGCCTCTTCTAAACTATGTTCTGTCATGCATTTAAACTAGTTCATTAGATAAGTAATGCGCTGTTTTCTTCCGTCCCTCTTGCCTTCAATGTGTCAAATTCGTATCAAATTTTTCAAGCCCTCTTTTCTCGTGAATATAGGCGTCCTTTTTGTTTCCATTTCCCTTAAAGCTTTGTCGTTGCTCACGTGCTCAGTCAGTAGTATTTTCAGTATCCTTCTGTATAACTACATTTGTTACTTCAAATCTCTTCATCTGTGAGGAGAATGTCCAGCATTCACTGCTATATAGGAGGACTGACATTACGCAACAGTTCAGTACTTATTGCTTTTGTTTCTAGCGAATTTTTCTCTCTGTTAATACTTAACTTATTGAAGGGATCTTTCACTAAGCAATCTCAATGCGCCTTCGGATTTCTGTGTCGTATTTTCCGTCCTCTGTTAAGACTTCTCAGATATTTAAATTGTCGTACTTCATTTTGGTATCTCCAATTTGTAATTTGCATTTTGGGCTGCTCCTTTTGCTCACAACCATGCGCTCTTTTTCCTCGACACATAATTGTTAGACCTTCTCACTTTCCTTTATTACCGTCTGTAAATGAGGCAACGCTTATTGCGATGTCTTTGGATAAGAAATATTTATTCTGTAGGCAAGAGTACGAGAGGTTTTTGGTACGCTACAACGATTAACTTCCCCACCCCAAATCTGTCACTTTGAAACAAACTGCGTTGCTACTAATGAACTGTTTGTTTTTTGGGTTTTTTTTCTACAGGCGGTCGTTGTCCAAGCGTAATAAACATGAAGAATTTAGAATGCTGATTTTCAAGGCAAATTCTCCTCAATTGGAAGATTTCAGTATATTCATTCTCTCTTCGCATAGCTTCTGCTGCACAGAGCGGAGATTCCTAAATCTGTTTCCGATGCGTAGGTGATAGCAATTTATTTACAAAATTCTAATCAATATTTGACTATCATTTTTTTTTTTTTTTTTTTATTCCTTCATGTCATCCGGAGCAAGGCAATAAAGCTACTAAAACACAAGAGGTTACTGAGTGAGAAAAAAAAAAACAACATTGAGAGAGAACAATAAAAGTGAAATTAAGAAAACAGAAAATAACGATTGACATAGCATTTAAGTTTTAAAGATCAAACTTTATGGGGTGCATGAAACCGGAAGAGAGTTCCCCAAGCGAGAAGTACGATCAAAGAAACTATCTAGCCATTTCAAATGTCAAATGAGATCTTGAACACATCTAGTCCTTTGCTTAAATTCATAAAGTCTAGGTACCACAGAGGAAAGTTCATGGGAACAATTACTATGAAAATATTTATAGAAAAGACACAGGAAAGCTACGCTATGGTGGTGGGGAGGTGACTAATGCCGAAATGTCAGACCAGAGTCACAATCATTGCAGATTGTTCTTTGTACAGGCTTCGACAGAAATACCTCTCACGTATACCTCCCAGATTATGGTAAGACATTAGGTAGATGACACCATTGCCAGCAATGTCTTACGATTATGTGCGAACTATTTTTGTCGTACGCTTATTTTATCTAGACTCTTTAGATACATAGCGGAAACCCCAGACCAGATGTGGTAGCAGTATTCAATGCAGGCACGAATGGCAGACGTTTTGATATGCAAGACTGATTCTGGCGAGAAAAATTATCCAGTACAATATATTGAACCGATTTTCGTAGCAGCAAACTTAGCAATTACCGTATTTGACGACATATAAGACGTACGATTGTATAAGACGCACCCTAATTTCAGCAGGGCAAATCAAGAAAAAAAATTAGTAATTAGTAAAATTATTAGTAAACGGTACAGCCTAGGCTATATTTATGAGGTATTATTTTGGTTAAACAAGCCATGATTACAATTTAAACGAAAAATAATAGGAAAAAAAGAACAGGAGCCTATAAAAAAAACTTTATTATATCCAAAGGTAAGAAAACAAAATAAAAATCAAGCAATTATTACAATTGAGCAAAACAGTACATTTGCCATTAAAATTCAGTCAAAAATTTTCCTTTATTTGATCTGTACAACGTGCGTCTTGTAAATGTCTTAGTGGAATAATTAGGATATAAAAATTCTGATTGCATTTATACCAATGCAACCGGAAATTATCACAAGAAAAATATTAATGAAACAAATATATTTTAAAAATAGATAATTTGAATTTATTGCATATAATTTTAGTGAAACAAAGTACTAATATTAAGTGGGATAAAATTAATATAATGATTATCAACGATAACACTTTTAATCTGGATAATAGCCTTTTAAATAATGACAATAGGTATTATAATTAACAATATTATACTGAATTCATCTTTCATAGCAATTCAGTATAATATTCGAAATTTAATTTGATGGGGGGTGCGTTGACAAAAAGTTTGTGCCCAAAGGGGGCGCTGGTTGAGAAAAGGTTGGGAAACTCTACTCTAAAGTCTAAGCTAATGAGTTGCCAGATAGCTAATTTCGGCCGACTATCACGAATTTTAAACCTACATATGGCATATAAGACGCAGGGGAATTTTAAAAGATATTTCTAGTTTTTAAAAAAAAAGTGTCTTATATGCCGGTAATTCGGTATAATTATTCCACTTCATGTCAGTGGAAAACGTGATACCCAAAAGGTACAGTGAGTTGCTCTCCTGGAGGTTAGCATCAGCCATGTTGATGGAAGGCAAAAGCTCCAGACAGGATTGGGTTAGAAATATTCAATGCCTGGACGAAGGGTGGACTTATAGATATTCTGGTGAGACTAGCAGCAAACTTAGCAATTGATTCTAATGTAAACTTTCCACTTCATTTCTGTAGAAAACCTTAGAGAATAAAGGATTAATGAATTTGATCTTTCAGTGTGTTTATGAGGATGTAAAAAAAGACATCGAAATGGTAGTAGGGTTGGTTTGTCACTTAATAACATACAGTCTATGTTCTTGGGAAGTGGATAAACTTCCTCCCCTCCCGGTCTTTTAATTATCCATTCACATTCCTTCCCCGCCCCCTATTTTCACCTGAACCTTGACAGACGCTGAATTTTCAGGAAGTGACGTAAGAGGCCATCCTTAACCGCTAACAAAACGAACAACGAGATTTTTTTTTTTTTCTGTTATTTCTCTGAAGATCTTGTTAGAGGAATAAAATAAAATAAAAAAACAATAAATAGATAATACTGTTGTTTTACATCTGGCTGTGATGTTAGTGGAAAGCTGGGGTTGGGCTGATGTTGTGCACATCGTGCAACGTTTGCCGACGAGACCTTTTGAAGAGGTAAACTGAAAATAATGGCCGCCGTGGTAGTTGTAGAGAATAGCTTTCCATTCCCACCGCCACTCCAATGCTATTCTTTGATTTCTGCTTTCTTTCTTTTTCTCCACTTCTTAAATGTTATTAATCTGTCGTCTCCCGCTGGAATAACCTATGAAGAGAAATGGTTAAATGTCATCGGGAGTGAATGTCACAAGTACGGGGGATGAAACACACACACACACCCTTTGTGATAACTTTTATTTGCACTTGCACGAAAGAATGCTGAAAAGTTCTTGGCTCGAAAAGAAGCCCCCCCCCCTTACACACGCACACAATCAGATGTTAGGTCATTCGGTCAGTTTTAGGGGGAAGACGATAACTAAGCATTTCAGCTCACTTCGGAGTTAAGGCATATCTCGTTCCTTACGAGTCTCTATATATCTATATGTCTCTATATATCTATATGTCTCTATATGTCTATATATCTCTATATATCTCTATATGTCTCTATATCTATATGTCTCTATATATATATGTCTCTATATATATATGTATATATATATATATATGTCTCTATATATATATATATATATATATATATATATATATATATATATATATATATATATATATATATATATATATATATATCACTCTCTATATATATATATCACTCTCTCTCTATATATATATCCTATATATCACTCTCTATCTATATATATCCTCTC